TGTTCTATTATCTATTTAGATGTGATATGTTAGCACGTTAGTTAAAGAATATATTTCAGTAGTTTACTTTTAATTAATTTCCGCCAAAGCTCCAAATATTATGTTTTTTTTCGGTGTGGGTACCCCTGAACCGAAACATTATTCACTGTATGCTTATCTATGATTTGGTTGAAAATTTGACAGGCTTACATCGGCATCGATCGATTGGTTCGTCCCTCGAATTGCCATTTTTATTTGAGCTTTGCTTGAATTTATCAGCCGGTAGACAGATCTTCACGATGACGAAAAAAGATTATACTGGTTTGGCTGAAGAGGCTTCCAAGGATTACGACAAGGCCGTCGATGGAATCATTGATCCTCATCCAGAAGATAACGATAATGTTGCGGTAATGACAACTTTACAATTTAGAAGTTAATAATAAAACATACTTAAATAATAATACAATAAATAAATAATACCAGCCAGACAGTATTCCCTCGGCAGGGGTGACCAGATGGCTGAGGGTTAGGGTAAAAGGGAGAGAAACCGGCGGACAATTTGGGCGGTGTCCAGAAGCACGGCTTTCTGCATCTGAGCGTCATTTTTTATTTATTATTACAATAACAACGATCATAAAACAAATGACGCAGTATGTACTAATTAATTTACAAATATTTTCTTCTAGAAATTGCTGCAGGATATAGGTAAAGTTTTTGACATTGGCAGCACTGACATGGGACCTGAGTTTATGAAGTTACTAAAACAATTCAGCAGCAGCAATTCTTTGATCATGGAATCTGGTAATGGGGCAACAAAACTGGCTGAACAAGAGAGTGATAATGAACTCAAATGTGAACATATTGTAAAGAGTATGGACTAAATAGTGAGTATCTTTATGTTTATGATTCTATCCACGCAAAAAATTACTTAGTATAAATAACATACATATTACTTTTTATTTACTAATGTTCAGTAACAGTGACAGTAAAAATAATCTTAATGTGAATTAAAAATATCTCTAGAAATGTTGCAGTAAAAAATGTAAAGTTTATTTAACCTTAAGATTAAAAAAAAATAGTAATGGATTTGTTGTGTTTATTGTTTCAGACATTGGAATTGCCACTGTAATGCAGATGTTCATATTTGCAAACATCATCAAGTAGATGTTTTCTTTTATTTTAACCTGTACCAAAAAGATCTCCAATGCTTGTGATAATTTATTTGCAAAATACATTCAGTGAAAACAATATGTTTCTTTTAATGCAATAAAAATATATTAAACTGCATATATTACTTTTAAATATTAAAAAACCTTAAGCATTTTTTCACCTCCTATGAGCTTTTCATAAATAACAGTAAGCAATAACCCCTTTGTCATCAATCTCCCGTTTCAGAAAACTGCCCTGGTTGCCTCAGGCAGTATCGGTATTCTCGGCGTTGACATATCGAGTGACGTTCAGTTTTGCGGTCATCTGGAAGA